CCCTACAAGCCAATCAAGGGTAGCAAACCCCAAACCCTACAAGAAAAGGAATTGGTTGGCAAACCCAAAATCTAAACAGAGATTCTGGTTGGCAAACCCCAAAACCACGAAACGCTGTATACTGCCTGCCAACTCCAAACCCTACACGGAGATGTTGGTTGGCAAAGCCCAAACCTCAAAGAAAGATGTTTGCAAAACCCCCAAGCCTCAGCAGACGATCGTGGGTGGCAAAACCCCAAACCTTCAAGACAACACCTTTAATTCAACCCAAAAAGCCAGCCCAGTGGCAAACCCCAAACTCTGAAGAAGAACATGCTGGATAGAAAGACTTAAACGTAGTTGGCAAACTCCAACACCGGAAAACGGCTGCCACCGCACCGAAAACCTAACATGAGGTTGGCAAACCCAAAAGCTTGCAAGGAAATGCTGTCGGTGACGAACCCCCAAACCCGAAAACGAAAGTGCGAGTGGCAGACCCTAAACCCTCAGCGAAACACTAATGACTGCCAAGCCCTGGACCTGACAAGGCGTTTGGCAACCCCAAACAAAACCTTACAAGACGATCGTGGGAGACAAACCCCAAACCATAAAAGAAAAATTGGCTGGCAAACCCAAAATCTACGCGGAGGTAAAGGCTACACACGGAGATGTTGGTTGGCAAAGGGAGATGTTGGTTCGCAAGCCTCCAAACTCCAAACCTCAAAGATGCGATCGTGGAAACCCGAAACGTTGAACCCAAAACCTAGAGTTCAAAAGCATATCTTGGTTCATGCCCCAGCTGCCCGCAGCTCAGAAAGAGCCCCAAACCCTGAAAGGAGATGTTGGTTAACCGGCGAACCCGAAACTCTGAAAGAAGAGCACGGGTGGCGAACCGAAACCGTACAAAACAAAATTATCTACTTGCAAACTGAAGCTTAAAGAGCAATTTAAAAATGCAAAACCTTCACAGAAAATGACGATGGAACAAGAGGACATTGGTTGTCTTGCCTCGAGCGTTCAATTGAGCCGAGAGGAACATCGCAGATAGCAAATCCCACAACAAAAAGATGTCGTGTTTGGCATGTCCCAGGTAGCTACAGCAGGAGGGGCCGGAACCCGGATCCAGCGTTGTTTTGTCAATCGGTCCTTGGCGCTGTGCGAACCGGTTCCTTGAATCGGCGGCTTGTGTTTCTCAATCGGTCTGCCGGTTTTCCAAGCTTATTTCGTGAAGTCAAAAACCCCCTACTCTCTGAGAGAGGCGAGTCACTGAAACACGTCAAAAGCTTCGTAAACAGGGAACCTGTTCTCGTTCACACGCAACCGTCAACTTTGATGTCTAAGGAAGGAAGGAATGTATAAATGCATTCCTTCCATGCACAAGAGGCCGACGAATGATGCATTTTCGGGTGCAGAGAACAGTAGAACTTATGAAACAGCACCCCTGTGAAACTTATTGGTGCAAGCGTGTCTAGCGACGTCACAAGATCCAAGACAGATACACCAATCCCGTATCGCAGTCGCTAAAATGTTGCGCAGATGGCAGAATCAGCCACATCGAACATCCGCTGTGAGATAGACAGTTCAAAACGGTCAGCACATACGGAATGGAAGAACGTTCGACGCAAGTCTATGTTTGCACCAAACACTTAACGAGACGCGCCTTCAACGGACAGGCCGGCCACAATGACCGTGATGTTTTTCCCAACAACTCACAGCCAATTTGAGCAGTCATGTACAACATGACTTGTGAAAGCGTGCACATGCCGGAACTGGCACTGACATTGGCTTGTTCAGCTCGAGATCGAAGTGGTTAATACTAAGTCCTAACTCCACACCTCGGCCTCGCCGTAAGTCTGCGCTGCTCAGTTGGTGGACGGTCAAGCTAATGAGAACGGTTTCTTAGGCAGCTTTCACCACACCTGGGAAGGGCGATGAAGAAAGAGGCAGTCCCGACGTGAAAGAGGAGGAACGTCCCAAAGGAGCGATAGCAACATGTACTCCAGTGCCACCGCACCCCCCCAGTGCTTCCCGTTTAGAAACACACCGATGAAGGCCGGCCTATCTTGCAGGCACTCACAGCATCACTGATAGCACCAGTAAGCACTAGTCACGGTGATGCAACAGCGCACAAGAAGTATGTCAGAACCAGGGAACACCAAGCAAGATACGCGATTCTATAAGCAGCTACGCCGGTTCAGCATGCCAGACCAGTACCAGTGCCAAGTCAGAGCCTCGTCTTTGGGCAATCATTCCCACAAGAAATATTGCCCCTCTGCTTCACATCTACAGGTAGAACATGGACCGACGTCACTAAGTAGTCACTAGTTTTGCATGCTTGCGGTCTAGTTGCAGACGCACATGCACACACTCAAATGCATACGCACGCAAGCTTCGCGTAAAAAACGGCATGCGGACACAGTATGTAGTAGGCTGAGCATCGAGCGCGAAAGTTCCTCCAGAAGAAGCCCCGACAAAGATGAGGTCCAGCGGAACGGTTGTCTTGGATTGAAAGATACGACGAGCCCCATGCAGAATCGTTGCAGCGACGTCCTCGAAGTCACTGCCGTCTGAGTTGGGCCAGCAAAAGCTTCCGTCATGCATCGGATTCGTGAAAGCCACAATAGCCGCGCTTCGCGCCAAGACGGCTCGAAGAAAGATGACTTCTTCAGGTTTTTGGAACCAGTCGCTTCCTCCGTTGTTGCACCCATGAAAAAGGACGAACACGGTGTTTGCTGAAGCAGGCCAATTTGAAAAGGCTTGTAACCCCGCCAACTCATGCACATCAGCGTAAACAGGCCACTGCTTCGCACAGCAGCGCCAAAGGAGTGCGAATATCCAAACGAGTGACATTGCAAGCCCTTGCCCAGCCACGTCTCCAGTGTTCGCCTTTCAAGGAAAGGCTGTACAACACCTATCATCAGATTTCACGGTGCGGCCTGCCAAGGAGAGCTTGAGCCAGAAACCCAGAAACACCACTGCAGCTGGTCAAAACTTGGCCACGGCCCTTGTCGAGCATGGCGCCTCAAGTGCCTCCTTTTCCGCTTCCAGTTCTCTTCGACGCTTCTCAGCCTTGCTGTCAAGTATCTGGACTTCCAGACATGACAGCTCAGTGAAGGCGCCAGTGCCTCCACCCGCCTCCTTTTGACAGCTGCCTGGCACGAGAGCATTGTAGTCTCCGGAAGAGGTGCTGCGTCTTGTGAGGCTCGGGACACCTCTTCCCTTGCCACTCCGACTGCTTGTCGGACTCGGGCAAGGTTCTGCTTGTCAACACCTACAAGTTTCAAGAACATAACTGTTCAGTCATCCGCCTGTGTGAATCCGGGTGAGCCTCTTCTGTCATCTCCACTGCCGACAAGCCTTAAACTCTTACAGCTGCAGTTTCGAATTGAACATACCTTCTGAGGCCTGATGCCAATGTCTGTCCCACAGAACGACAGAGAGGGAGAGAGAGAGAGACAAGAAAAGCACAACAGATACGGAGACTTTGGGTGCACAGGTAGGCTTTGCGGCAGGCGAAGTTTGGATGTAGGTCCGCCCCACGAGGAGCGACCGCCGGCCACAAACACGTCCGTTGCTTGGGAAACGTCACGATAAGACCAAGTGGAAAAAGCTCGCAGCAAACAGTAGCAAACAGCAAACTCAGCCTAGGATCTTGTCGATGACGCTTTGCGGAACCTGAAAGGAATACTCCCCTTGCGCATAGGCCGCGATCTCCTGCCAAGTATGTTGCAAGCCTAGGCCCTCACAGCTTGCAGCAGCACCTGTGCATTCAGCATGCCATCATTGTCCACATCATACTTCCGAAACAACTCCTGCCAGCAACGGGCCGGGCCAATCAACAACATGATTGCAGCATCCAGGGTACACCTCCCTCTTCTCCATGTGTTTCAATGCCTGACAGCAGACTTGAACAGTCGAACATGACCATTCTTGAACTTGTCCCACCTTCTCCTTTCGATGTGCGCCGTCGATCTTGGCCTTTGTGCATGGCGAGAGTACTCCACTCTTTACTCACACTACTCATATGACCAGAGGGACCGGGGGGCGAAGCTGCGACATCATAGGAGACTCGGCCATGCAGCTGCCGTCCCTCACCGAAAACGCCCCGGCGGCGTCTTCCAACTTGCTCTGAACCGCCAGCGGGCAGTCACTGGCCCGGTCTCACACCGGCTGGAGAGAATTCTTTAGGGCTGCATCGGCGCTGCAGTTCCCTATTCTAGTGTTGCAGTGTTCCGCAGCACGCATTTATGTCACAGAACACTGTGCGAACGTCAGCCCAACTTAGGCATGGACGTCTTCGGACACGCAATCGCACGCATGACGACCAGCCCTAAACTGGCGCTCTGCATTGCTACCGCGAAACGCGCAAGGCGCAAGGTCCCCAACCAGGAAACAGAAAACTAGTCTGTGGGAGGCTCCGAAGCGGGTGCTGCCACACACGTTCCTGGCTGCCGCCGTCGCCTCCGGTCACGGTCGCTGTTCTTGGATCTGTATTGACAGCTCGCAGAAGGGGAATGCGAGATGAACACCGATGGGGACTCCAGCCAGGATTGGCGACAGCATCGGTAGCTTCGTGACGGCAGCGGAGGAAGAGTGGGCGGTGCCACGGTTACAAGAACACGGATGTCCATTGCGGAGCTCCGCGAGAAGACAGCACAGGCGAACGTGCGCGAAACCGTCGGAGTCAGGTGAGATGCAAAAAACTGCGCAAGGAGCTGGAGGCTCCAAACAATGCTGTCTGCCGTGTGTTCGGCTGCGTGACAATGCAACAAGAGGAGAAGTTGCTATGGCCTGTTGTCACATTCTTATCAGTGGAGCTTGTTGCTGTCACGGTATGCTCTACGTTGATACTTGATATACTTGGAATGCCGGAAATGCCGGAAGCAGGCCAGCGAACATGATCAACTACATTACCAACATCTGACACAGCAGTTGGTACTCACATGCTGCATCTGACGTTGCGACAAGTTGCTCAGAGCAAGAACGACACCAGAACTGTACCGTTCTGAATGTCCGTAATTCTGTTTTACAACCCACACCATGGACTGGCAGGCATGCAGTCAACGACAAATAATGATTGTTTCGACGAGTCGGATGCTGGCACGCCTCGAGGCCGTTCACGCATGTGGCCATATTCACGAAGGCACCGTGGATCTTTCGTTGCAACTGGCGCAGGAAGGAACATGTCATGCCCATGAAGACAGGAGGACGGGAGAGGAAGAGAAAAGAGGGAGAGGACCAAGCAGAGAGAAGACAAGAGAGAGTATCCGATCGACTACCGGACCTGCACAAGCTGCTCCCGAGTCTCTGCTACCACAGATCTGGCCTGGCAGATACAACACGGACAACCAAACGATTTGGAAGTTGTCCTGGCCTCTTCCATAGCAAACCTCTTGCTTAGGAGGAAATCAGAACAGGCTCGGCAGCTCGCCTTGTCGTTTCCGCACGTGCAAGGTATCCACTGGCGGAAGATTCCAAGAATCGGACTTTGGCTTTGCCCTTTACCTGCCCAGATGTGAAAAAAGTCCCTGCCGGGTCCTCCACAACTGTCACGATCCAGTACCTCGCCAAAACCGGCACTGGACTTGTCGAGCTCCGACAGGTCCTGGAACTGGCTGCGAGGAGACGCATGCCAATTCAAACAGAACACTCAGTGCCATGCCAGGCTGGTGTCCATGATCGGCTGCACCTTCTCCTACGGTGTCGGCCATCTCAAGCCGATTTTCCCCCCCCGGCAAAAAGACCGCTCTGACCATCGGCCTTGAGCTCGGAGACGCTGCCCTGCAAATTTGATTCTCACAACCATCGCAAAACTCGGCAAGTACACCACTACACAAAGGAGCCCAACAGCCTCAGCTGCGATGACCAGCTGGGACAACTCCTGAAAGAACGTCAGATCGAGTGAACCCTTCGATTGAACATGGTTCTCAACCATGTTCAAGGTGGGGGGGGTTTACGCATCTTCAGTGCCCCTAAACGTGATTGAAAACGCTTCAAATCGCTTTCATGTGTTGTGACCATGACTGTCAACGGTCCAAATAGTCAGGCCTCGAACCCCTGACCCGCTGAGGCTGCATCCATTTCGGGTCCGAACCATCCCCGGCCTGACCCCGACTATAACAGGAACGGGTGGCAAATCTGGGTCCCGAAGGGACCGTGGCTAACAAAAGATAATCCTCTGCAGGGGTTGTTGGCAGCTAAACCGGAACCTTTACAGTTTAGCACTAATGGCGCTTCGAATCCTAGACCCCATCAGGGCTGACGGGCAGCGCACCGATCGCTCTGAAGGATTGGGGCCGCTGACACTCTGGAAAACTCATTGAGACGGGGTCGCCTGCAGAAGTTGAGCAGTGACGGCTTCGCGCTCTTTCATGCGCTTCTCCTGCAATGCAGACATGTCGGCTTGCTCCCCGGGCAGAGCCACGTAGACACTGAGTTGTAACTGTTTTTCTCAATGTCCGACACACTCGACGCCTCTTCTTCCCGTTGCTGCCGATATGTCTCTTTGCGCTCGGCGGCCATCTGCGTGGCCTCACTGCGGTAAGCAGGCCGAGGCCAGGCCGAGGCCATGGCGGCGACTCGAAAAGCCTGGTAGACTTCCTGCTGCAACCGTTGCCACATATTTCCACACTCACTGCCGACTTTGTTGAACACCTTGGCTGTGCACAGCATGAGCCACTAGATGAAAGCAGCGACAGTCTGCAACATGAGGTCGTCAAGCCATGGACATCTTGCATTTCTGCGCAAGCTTGATCCAAGGCTTCTGGAGATGTTGTGCGAACTCTATGAATGGCCTCGGTCACCCATTCTGAGAGCGGACGGTAACAGATGAAAGCGCTTGAGAGCACTTGCCTGTCGCACCATCTGGATGGCATTCTGCTCCTGCAAAATGATGAGAAATGCAACACACGACTTCTCACAGACGGTTTCTGCCGTGGCTTCTATTGCACTCCGCGATGCTGATCCTCCTGTTGTCGGCGCTGTGCTTCTTGCCTGTGAAAACTCTCTACAATCGAGGCCCAAGGAATCTGTGCTGTCCCAAGGAGTCTGTGCTATCCTCGCAAGAATCTGCATCCAAGTGTCCATTCCTGATGACCCATGTTCTGTTGGAAGCCAGCCTGCATGTACACTTACACACGCACACACATCACCGGTCTGACAAAACTCCACCTTGCAGAACAGCTCCTTGAGCTTGCCAACACGTATCAACAAATATAAATCCTCATCTTCACGCCTTCAGTCGGTCGGTAGGATTAGGCCAGTTTGCCAAAACGCTGCTATCCCAAACTGCCGGAGAGGACATGGTGTCATCAAGTGTTTTTGGAGCCACGGGCACCAAGACTAGTCCAGCATGCGCATTCACACCGTTTCCAGCTCTGCCCTCCCGTGTACTTGCTTGCGGTGACGCCAAGATAACCGACAAAACGGTGCGACAAAATGCCGAGTGGTCTGGAACCATGAAATAACAGTGTGCCTCGCGGATTCCGGCAGTATTCCATTCAAACACAGACCCAACAGAGCTACCAACGGTGCAGGGCAACTCTGATTATGCTGTTGTAGAAACAACATCAACGAGCGTGTATACACATATACATACACACACATATACATACACACACATATTAATATATATATATATATATGTATGTATATATGTATATATTTATTATACACATTACGAAACTAATACTTAGCGTGGTTTCCTCGTCTGCAGACGTGCTAAATCTGTCTTCTGGCATAGGACTCTGTGCATCTCAACAAGTTAGAACATTGGTTCTTCAGTTTGTCCGAGCTCCATAAGGGTTCTGTTCATTTGGATTCTGACTTTGCTGCAATTCCTGTACACGTAGTCTTTTAGGTAACCCGGGTCCCAAACCACAGAATATGCACAATCAACAGTCCCCCGTGAACAGACTGATTCACAACTTTGCTGAGAAAGGCACCAGCAACCGCACTACACNNCACTGCCGCCTTCAGCCCAGGACGGCACAGGAGTCACTCCAACGCCATGCACGGGAAGCTTCCGCCATCATACGAAGGAAATGTGCAATCCCTGTTGTGAGCATCCGTGTTTTGGTTTCTCGACATCCACACTCCCAAAAATCTGGCCCGCGCCGGCTCACCGGATGCTCATTGGTCCCTTGTCTGCGCAACGGAGGTGCTAGACCAGTTCTGATAGGGAGTGTGCACACCGCAAGATTGAGTGGTCTCAGCCGGCATGCTTGCTTGGATTGCCCTGCGTACGGCGTACACAAAGCTTTCTCTCGGAAGGAAGAAAAAGCCGGCCCCAGGTTGCTTCCGCAATGCCCCCATGCCCTTGGTCCTTTTCTTTTTGCAAAGCAGAAGTGCTCTGTGGTCCGAGTGCGTTCATCTTGTCATGTAGCGGTGCCACCAGCCTCGAAAGATTTCATCAGCTGCGGCCCCAACCGCACCGAGATGAATACTCAGAGGATGTAGAATTTCGCGCGGTATTGCTTGAACGTGAGAGTCTCAGACGGTCGCTTCAGCACCATCATGCACCAACTTATCCCGGTACGTTTCCTCGGTTTGTCACGGTTACNNGTGGGCTTGCAGCTTTTCAGGAGATGCATACTGATGTGACAGGATTCTGTCTCATATAGACACGACGATGCAAACAACTGTGGACCGTTCATCATCGTTTTCAATGGTTTTCACATGTCTTAGCACTTTTTACCGGTTCGCCTGCCCACAGGGGCCGCAGCCCTGCGTGTAGCCTTGCTGCGCTTGCTGATACCTGCACCGCGGGCCATGGTGCTTGGATGTGCTTGGGCGGTGTAGCTCGCATGTCGCGTCCATACAAGGAAACTCAGTCCACCGCTGATTTTGCTGGGCCATCCTGCAACCGGCACCGAGCTGACGCTGATGGCAATCGCACATCCAAAGAAAAACTGTCATCCAAGTGGCTGCTGGTAGGCTTGCTGCTCCTGCATCCGTCATGCCATGTTGACTCTGAGTGCGGTTCCAGGATTCAGACGCAGCACACGCACTCCTGCGAACCAACAACCTGTACACTGAAGCTTGCATCAACAGGACCATCGTACGGAACCTGCGGACTTGACGCAAGGGCATACCACATGAGGGCTTTACAGCGAAGAGGACCCTCCACTGCGAAGATGGCGGCACCATGGACTTGTCGGGGCTGTAAGCCCAAACCTAGCGGGAGCCGAAGCTTGACAAAGACCCTGCCAGCAGTGAGATGCTGGGCACGAAGCTTGATCCCCTCCAACTGCAGGACCGAACCACCTTATGATGTCGGAAGAGGGAAGGCCCGCCACGCCAGAACTCAGCAGTCAAGGCCGACACCATCCAGAGAAGCTAGCGCCGTCTCTGTCGTCCCAGAAATAGATCAGAACGTCCATGTTGTTGGACTGTCAGCAAACTGAAGTACAGCAACTTAGTTAGTACCTCACCATGTCCATGCAAGCATGCAAGCAACAGTCTCACCCAAATCTACCTGTTCGGTACGGCGGAACACCGGACGTCCGTGATTTTCGGACGCTGCAACATACCTGCACAAGCTGCCACTGCACCGCAGCAGTTCAAACAGTGATGAAGGAGCAACCGTGCCAGAGGTCACTCACCACGCACGATTCCAGCAACGGTCTCGTTTTGGCATCCTGACAAAAACTTCGAAGGATTGACATTACTTTACATCAACGCATGGACTTGCCAGTTGCAGGTTTTGTTGCAGCAGCCGCTAACAAACTGCCACAACATGTTCATCTGACCACATAGTTCCATACCCACGTCACAAGTGCTTTCTTGCCAGTCTGTCTCCTCATTAAGCACTTCCATGCGCCAGGATCTGAAAACTTTAATGGAACTATTGAATTGTCAGTGGGATGCCCACTGAAACTTAGACCGGAAGCACATAGGTCAACACTCTTGCTTTACGCATCGAGATGTAACAAACGTTCAATCAGGCCAGTGCACCTGAAACGATGAGCTTGGAAGCTGCTTGCTGGATCGCTTGAGTTTGCCTGATGCGCGTGGCATGCGACTGGCTTAACACAAATGACCCATCACGGACAAGCTGCAGCTGCTCAGCGCCGTGGGCCTGCGGAGATGCATCTTATCTTGAGGTAAAGCTTGGTTAAGCTTAGCACAGCGTGGACGAGTGCAGAAGTTCGTTTCTAGCGGCCTGTCTCGAACTACGTGGTCACACAAATGAAAAGCCATGCTAGGCTGCTAGACAGCGGTCCAAGCCTGCTGCGACTGCATCTGAGCATAGCCTGCTGGCAGGCGGAAGAGGCCCACACAAAGCATCGATTGCACAGCGCAAAACAAAGCGCTTTACCGATCATCTCATTTCTCCTCTTCGCTTGCGCGAGGATCCCTGGGCTCTATCTCCGTCCGAGCGACGCCGGCCTGTCCCAACAACATATATGCTGCAGCTTTTGGAATCCACCGATGCACCGAGGCTGCAAGCTTGGACATCTCCAAGGTTGGTAAGTCAGACCGTTCCGAAACACTCTCGGCCACAAGACAGCAAGACAGCACCTCAATCATCTGTGCTACAGAGTGCAGTGCGGCAGCGGAGTCCTCGGACGGAGCACAGGAAGAGACATCACGTTGGGCGAGAAGTTACTGATTCATGCGGGCCTCCACCTGCCCTGCCAGAAGAGCCTTTAACTCGCACTCGAGATCCGAGATTGCCCTGACCAAGAGTGCCAGATGGGCACGACAGGGCATTTCATCGCCCAAATTGTAAAGCTGACAGGGCCTGCACCATGGAGCCGACCTGAGTTCCTCCCGCAGAGTCTTGATGTTCAGGGATTGCACCTTCGAGTCTCCGAGACTTGAAAGGGGCATGCGTAAGGGGACGAAGCAGCGGGCAGTGCTCACAGCCTGCCACAGCGACTGCGAGTCGGCTTGGAACATTTCAGCTCGCTCCAGGCGCTCCTCAGAAAGCAGCAGCGCGAACTGGGAATGGTCGGAATGGTCTGAAGCCCGAAAGAGGTCCTCGAGTCGATGCACATTGCCTTCACCTGCGCACAGCTTTCCAAGGGGCACAACAATAGGGGTGAGGCATCAAAAAAAACTAAATAGACATCAAAAAAAACTAGACCGGAGAATCAAAAAAAAAACCTAAAATAAGCATAAAAAAACTTAAGCATGAAAATAAGCATCAAAAAAAACTTCAGCACGAAAATAAGCATCAAGAAAA